ACCCTGTTCCCAGACCTCCCAATGTATTTCTCTCTCCTGTCCCTCAGCAGCCACCTCTTCTACCACCACCTGTATCCCACCTGCCTTCCCCCAGTTCTCCCAGCATTTTTCCTCTCTCCCCTCAACAGCTGCCAAGGTCCCAGCCTGTCCTCTCCCCCTTGGCTGGCCTGCCCTCCAATCTTCCCAGGACTGCTAACAGCTTCCCCTTTCAGTTCCAGGTCCAGGAAGGTGATGGCCTCTGCTGAGCATGCAGGCTCATAAGTCCGATGCCTCAGGTAATAAACAGCAATCACCACCAAGGCTTTCACTCTGCCTGGGCCACGCAGTCATCTTCTCAGCCAGCACTTCCATCTCTTATCAGTAATCCACTTTATGGTTTCTTCAAATTAAAGCCAACATTGTACCAGCTTTTTCTCCTCTGTACTCTGTCTCTTACAATCTTCCTTGATTTATCATATATCCTCTCCCGCCTCTGCAGCTCTTTTCTCATTATCTCTGTTTTTCTTTCCTTTCTACCCAAACAAAGAAAATAAGGGGTTGTGCAGGCCCGCCCATTCATCAAAGACAATGGGCATTTCTTCTGCTAATTGTAGATTATTCTGCTGAGGCACAGGCTGGAAGGCTTTGCTTGAGGCATCAGTGTGGGGGCAAGACATAGACTTCAATCCTGAAAGTTAGGGTGCAAGTATAAAATGAAGTAAATTGATATGGTGGCTAGGACAGGCAGATCTTCATATTTCCTATGCTCTGTGTATGTGTGTGTGTGTGTGAACTAGAATATACTTTTTCTTTGCAGTTTTTAAGTCATAATGATTCGGTGGGACAAAGATGAAGGAATCCAGTTTGGTGTAGTGATTAAGGTATCAGGCTAGAAACAATAATATTTCATCTGCAGCATTTACAACAAGTTGCCTCTATTTAGCTGTATGACTTCTTCATATACCGTATAATGGGCAGTGAAATACCACAAAATATGTACCATCTAGATGTTAACAGTTTCCTTGCTGTATTTTTTTCAGAGGAATCTTTGCCACAAAGAACCAGTTTTGTAATTATTTGTAAGAAATTATGTGTTGTTAATTTCTTGCAAGACATTGTTATAAATTGCAAGACAATTGCAAGACATTGTTATAAATCTAATGGCAAGAATACTCTTGAACATAAATACTGGGATTAAAATAAGGTATGTTTCTTTCCATTTTTCACAATGATAATGCTGAAAACAGAGAATGTCAGGAGTGGCTGAAATTGCTTCAGGTGTGCTGGTGAACAATTGTGAAGATTTAGGCACAGTACTATGAAATTAGTGCCTTTCCACAAGCTGTGCTATTGCAAAAGACAGGCAAGAACTCTTGGGATGTTGCACTGGGATATCTTCTGCTTGTCAGCAGTCTCATATTCAGTATGTAGCTTGCAAACTCCAGCCATTATGTCTCAGAACTGGAAATAATTTATCTCTATATAGTTATTGAGTCCTACTCCAGAATGATTTTGCTGTATCTCTGCTGTTTGTACACATTCTTACTGATCATATCATGTTGACTGTGAATCAGGGGTAATCTCACGCAGAATCTTAAAACTTGCTTTCTCATCACACATGGAAAATCAGCATCCTTCCGTTTCTATCTCCTGCTATAGATGAAGCTTGCATGCCATTCAGGTTCACTGTCCGTCCGTCTGTCCATCCATCCATCCTTCCTTCCTCCCTTCCTGACAGTTACCTGAGAAAGCCCTTGAATATAGTTTTGCATGCTTCTTGGAATTTGTGGAATACTGTATCAGGTTGCTAGAATACCACCAACATGGATTGAATGTTTTTTCTTTTTCTCTTTTTCTTCAAGGGGCTTTGGAAATTCTGGGGAAAGAAGGGGAAAATTCTGTGACTGTTGAATTTGGGGCAGAGAAATAGTGCTGGTTAGTTGATAAGTACAGCTACTGCCTAGCCTGGGCTGAGCAGTGACTGGCTAAAGCTTTTCCCTGTGAGCTCAGCATGATGCTAAATGTGTTTGGGATTCACGGATGGTGAGGACAAAGTGGGGAAATCGTTAAACTGTGTGGCAGAGCTCATTAAAGACTTCGGTCTACGATTGAGTCATCAGTTTGATTCAACCCTGAGGGACTGATATATTTCTCCAAGCAGTTATAGTCGAATTGCTATTTGTATAATGCCGCAGGATGTGCTTGCTTTGCTTATTCAAATGTGATGCCTGTGTATAACTTGGTCATAGCTGCATTTTCTACTGGCATGAAAGGGAATTATGATCTGGGCAATACAATTTGGGCTGTCTATTTTTAAAGCCCTTCTTGGCAGTTGGCACCGGCGGCCCAATTGTAAGGTCAGGCTTCCTTGGAATGCAGGCAGGCATTGTGCCATGTTGTCAGATGGGCATGAGATTAAAGAGTACAGGCCTGCTGTGCTGTGTGCACCACAGTGAATGCCGAACAAGACGCATTTGTGTGGCAGCTTCATTTTAATTTCACAGCCCTTTGTTTTTGAGATGTCAGTTATTAATCCAGCTTTGTGGATTAGGGTTTAAAACAAAGACCCACCTTCTTTGCACAATTTATAAAAACTACTCAAATGGGAAGAGAGTGTGTGTGGTGGGGGAGACCTTTTGTCTCACATGGCACCCCAACCCCTTCATTGTTTATCTGAAAAATGAAATGATGTCAAATCCTGCTTGGTGTATCCAAGTTCATTTTGAAACATAGCAGAGTACAAATTTGTATCAGTCATGCTTTGCGTATACAGTTTTCTCAAAGAGAAAGATGTACCCTGGGATCCCCTTCCTAATTTGCCTGTCAATACCATACATAGATACCCTGTGCTCCAGTTCTCCTGCCATAGTCTGTAATTCAGGACTAGCCCTGACAGTGCTTTTTATTCTTCCTCCATTATATTTTAAGTGACCTTTAGATCTCTGCCACACTAATTCTGAGCATGTGCCCCAACCCATCTGGCTTAACTACAGGATATTAGCATACCTGTTGGTAAACCCACGTGTATCTCATAATTACCAGGATAATGTGATTTAGGATTAGTACTTAATGTGTTTCTACCTGTTTGCTATTTGTTTGGGAGGTTTTTGTACAGTCAACTTGATGCTTGTTGACCTCATAAAGATTTAATAAGTATAATGGTACTGACAGCATTACCTTTTTTCTAATAGATGTTCAGTGTCATGCATCATTTCGCACAAAACTTGATAATCTGGCTTTTCTTGTTCAACAGAAAAACTCATTAACAGCTATTTTGCTCACTAAATGACCCCTGTGTTACACAGAAACAGGAAGGTAAAATGTTTTATATGTTTTAAGTGTTCCCTCTCAAAAATTACTTATATTGCAGTGTAAAAGTTTTACTCATTTTATAATTTGGTTTGCTTCTATTTATGTGTGTTTTCAGGAAGGTTTAAGAAAGAAGATGGCAAATGTTGCACCATGTAATTAATAAATCATTGAAAGACAAATATTTTAAGGAACATATATTAAAATTGTGATAAGATATTATACAAATCACCTTATGCCCAAGTTCCAAATGTTGTTAGAGAATTTCTCTCCCCTTTCAAGAAACTAGATGACATGATTTCCCCAGTTTTTCTGCTCTTAAACAGGATAGAGGTTTTCAGCAGATCACTGGTTCACAGCTCTGGTTTTAACTCTGAAGAACAACAGCAACAGTTGGAGACGTGCATGGGACATTCAAACTTGGCTCTCTTGCAACTGGACAAAATTCAGCACTTATACTATAATAAGAGGCAGTGAGAACTAAGCATGTGCCCCTTTGTTTCTTACCCCAAAGCTTCAAGGGTCAGTAGGGTAGTAGTTTATGATGATTATGGCTACCATATCTGGGCTATAAAAACTAGACAACTACTAGATAGAAGCAGAGTTCTCTGTATTTCTTTGCCGCTATCTAGCAATCAACCACATTTTTGTAGTCCAGAATTGGTAGCCCTAAAGCTGATTGCTATTGTGCAGCCAATTTGCAGAAAAAACTGGGAAAATGGTTGATTTTAACATTTATTTGAAAATATGGGGGGGGGGATTCCAGACAGTTCTGGACAGAACATCAACATCAACAAAGCATAAGAATAATAGTGATGAATACGTGTAGCTCAGAGTTGAATTGTTAGGTTCTTGGTGTTTTCTGAGCGTGGAGATAGAGCACTAATGATGTTATTTAGTTTGGTAATGAAATGTCTGCAAGAAACCCAAGCTTGGAGGACATTAATTACCCAGCATAAGAACATGCATGTATGTATACACACACACACACAAAATATATATTGGTTGCAATAATCTCAGGTTTTTTGGGAGGGGGCCGTTGACAGCCTTTTTCAGACACTTTCATATGAAGTAGCTTTGGTTGAAATGTTGAACCATACCAAAGTCTATAATATTGATTTGAGAAATAGAACATTCCTTCTAATAAAAAATTGCAATTTCTTTAAAGATAAAGTCAGTATGTAAATCTATCTAATTTTGATGAATGACTGGTGTTGATTCAAAAATATATGTTCTTTACGATGAACATCTAATCCTTTATTTTGCATTCTGATTCCTGTATTGACTAAAGACCAAAATTTGGGGTAGCATCTCCATTGATTAACTCTTTCTCTCCCTCCCTGTGTTTGTCTCTGTGTTTGTGTTGGGCAATTTAGTATTTGCTTTTGTCACTACATCATGAATTTGTATCTTGTTGCACTTTGGCAATAGCTCTCAGTAGTATATTGGAAGCTGAGATAAAAGAAAATAGGTCCTTTAAGACTTACTTTGAACTTCTCGTTCTATGGAAGCCTCACTGATACAAACAAGGTTTGCTATCCAATTTGAGAATTAGAGCACGGCCTCCATCAGCTCTTCCGGAAGCCATACAAAACATTGTGACCCATTTTGTATTGTGTGGGCAGTGTTATATGGAAGACTAAAAGCTGTTGGATCATGAACATACAAAATACTGTTGCTCTGTTCTTATTGGTGTGTTTTTCTTTCTTTAGCTCAGCAGAATTCACCAAAAATCCATGAAGGCTGGTGGGCTTATAAGGAGGTGGTCCAGGGAAGCTTTGTTCCAGGTAAGTGCTATATTTCTTATCCAATCATTATGTCAGTTGTTGCTATTTTATTCTGGTTTATATCATAGCATGTGGTATTGGCTTTTATGCTTCAGAACTTCAAATACATACAGTTGTGCACTGCAACAAAAATCAGAACTTAGCTCAATAACTGGATCAATTCTGTATTTCTCACTTTAGATGAAGCATCATAGTTACATCTATAGAAAACCTTGGGGTTTTCTAACTTTATTGATTTTCAAATTGCGTTTCTTAGGTCTGAGAGAAGAAAAGAAAGTCTGCCCCTGCTTTTGGCTGTCGTTTCATATGTTCAACTTACACTAAAATCTGTGGAACTCTTCTTTCTAAAAGATTGCTTTAAAATCTCCTGGGAATTCTCCAGAAAAGTATAACCAAAGAGATAGAAAGTAGTGGTCCTAATTAAAGTAAAAGTATTGGAAATGTACTGATCACTGTGTGGAGGAACCAATTCTGGTTTTGCTGTACTTAAACTATTCTGATTATTCCAGGTGAAAAGTTGTGTTTTATTTTCCTCCTGTTAACGCAGGCTTTTGTAGGATCATTTTGTAGGATTGTAAGATCATCACCCCACCCCAAGGTGAGATCGGCCCCAAATCTATTGACCTTTTGGAAATGGCTTAAAACTTGGTTTTCTCAGCAGGCTTGGGGATCCCATGTAAATAGGGACCCCACAAAATTGTTGTACTGTATATAAGATTTTAATGTACTCTCCCATGGTTTTAGTTATATTTATGCTTTTTAATTGTTTTAATTGTTATGTTTAAATTGTGTGTGCCACTCAGAGTCACATACGTGAGATGTGCGGCTATATAAATTTGATAATAAATAAATATGTATGGCTTCTGCTTTCTTATGCAGTTAACTAATAGTTTGCTTGGAAGTACATACTTTTGGAGATATCTGCCCTGAGGTAAATATTACAAAGCTGGGAGACTAGATCCATGTAGTTAAGGACATGTGATGAGCATATGCTCTTTTGTACATGTCCAGTGTGGGTCCTAACACAGTATATGGAAGGTTGAATTATTATAAATGTGCACTGATTCCTTGAGAATTCTTGCCTGATCATTTGTGAGGTACGGCTTAAAAAAGAACACTTGTTATACACATATTTACTACTGGAGATTGGCCTATGGACAGAAAAGAAAGCTTTAAATCATAACATAGGGTGGTATAATCTTTTTTTAGGCTGAAGGCCACACTTGGCCTTTGAGTGACATCCAAAAAGATGGTACAAGCAGGATATAGGATCCAGGATAAAGCACATTTATTCAATCTTTTCTCCCTTTTCTCATATCAAAAATTAGAACTAGATAGCAATTTTTAAAGGGACAGTGGAGATAGTATCCAGCTCTTTGGGAATCTACTTGTGGCTCAGGGGCCTCAGGTTTGCAACACAGTTTAAACCAAATAAAAAAGGAAGCCTTTTGCTCACATTTTGATCCTAACAGCCAAGAGATGTTCACACCAATCTCTGATTTGTTTAAATGTTAAAGGTCTCGATCAAAAACAGAAGTTTGCTTTATGGAAGTCCACAATATTTAGGAAGACTGAAGGTTCTTTCATCCTTGGATGCATATCATTTGACTTTCCTGAAAACCTTATTTGTTTTTAAATGTTGATACTGTGGTTTGAACTTAGGACATTCTGCAAGCAGATAGATAGATAGATAGATAGATAGATAGATAGATAGATAGATAGATAGATAGATAGATAGATAGATAATGCATTAGTTATTTCTCAGAACTGAATGCCGTAACTTTCAAACTGCACTGAAAACACTTGAATTTAACAAGGATAAACAAGCACAAAACCCCACAACTGTCTTTCAAGAGTGCTGAGCAACCACAAATCCAACCGCAGATTGGAATGCCCAGCATTCTCTAGACATCTCGAAGTGCATGAAGTCAGGCTTCATATCTGGGCTCAACAATAAATCACAAGTTTCCAGTTACTCAATCCTAAATTCACCACTCAGGAAAACTTGAGCAAAGATCCCCAAACTTGATTAAAATCTTCACTGCAAGCATGAATGAATCCTCAACAATAGTTGATTGTCCATTGCAGAACAAAGCAGTTAGAGGCTATATATACTGTATCTATGCTCCAGAGTTTACACTTCAGGCTTTTTCCTCCTATTCTTCTGAATTAATGGATATTTGCCTGGCTGCTTGATGGTCTTGGGAGGTGGCTGCTGAAATATGTTTATTCAACAATTCTCTTTGCCTTTTAGCATCAGCTCTTTTGCCCTCAGCCCTTAAACCTTCTCCTTCTCTATTTTCTCCTTTCTTCAACTGAAGTTGGTGAGATTTCCCCACTTTCAGGTCTCTCTTCTCCTCCTCCTTCTTGACTCAGGAGAGCAGGAGGTGGAGTATCTTCCTTTCTTCTTTTAAATCAGGAACACCTCCCAGTTCAGATCTATTTTATCCTTGTGTAGGATAAAGTGGCATTTGTGCTTTCTTTTTCTCCATTAGACTATGGCTGATGGGCAGAGGACAGATGGGCATTTCATCCAAGAGCTAAAATAGAACTTTCCAAAAATATGTTTTGAACTGTGGACCTATGTCAGAAATCAGGTGACTGGGCAAACTGGTTCTGGAAAACCTGTTGAATGAACATATGAGCTGTCATAGAAGGCCTGTGATCAGTGCTGGATGCAGACTTCCAGAAAGTTTCTTAGAATGCAGTCCCATCTAGAGCAAGCATATATCCTGAATCTTGAAGTCCAGCCTCTGGAATAAGCAGCTTCAGCTTGTTCTCACACTTCCAGCCCATTAAGTTCTCGAGCTGTCCACCCCTGAGCTTTCAGGAAAGGAAAGGTACACTGGGTATCATAAATGTGCTTGTGATAACTGTCTTGAAATAAATATACAATATGATCGTTCCAGCATGGAAGACAACATGGGAGACAAGATGGAAATTTGCAGGAGCCCTAGGACAATCCCCAAGAGGGTTAGACCGATGCACTACCTTGTGATAACACCCAAAGAGCTAAGAACCACACAAGGCAGGACCTCTAACCTCCAGCTCTTTCAGGAACTGCAAAAGGATG